TGATGAGCTGGATGTTCAAAAGGGGAGTCTCCTCTACATATCATGCAGCTGATGCTACATGGAATAAGTGAATTGCCCATATCACACAATGAACTTGGATAGGAACCCCAGTCATCCAGGACTTTTAGAAGTTATCATGGGCTGACTAGAAGGCAAAGATTTTGGAATGTCACCAGAGGAGGAAGTAATGAGTGCTGAAGAGGCCCCATTATGTAATAAATTATCAGATGATGAAAAGCAGTATGCCCTGTTTACTGATGGATCCTGCCGTCTTCTGGGAAAGCATCGTGGATGGAAAGCAGCTGTATGGAGTCCCCTATGACAAGTCATAGAAACCGCTGAAGAAGAAGGTGAATCGAGTCAGTTTGTGGAAGTGAAATCTATCCACTTGGCCTTAGACATTGCTGAATGAGAAAGATCCCAATACTTTATACTGATTCATGCGTGGTGACAAATGCTCTGTGGGGGTGGTTGCAGCAATGGAAGCAGAATAACTGGCAGCATAGGGTTAAACTCCTCTGGGCTGCTGCATTGTGGCAAGATACTGCTGCCCAGGCAGAGAACTGGGTTGTCAAGTTATGTCATGCTCATGTACCCAAGAGTTGGGCTACAAAATTTGGTTGTATCTTTACAAAAACATTCAGATAAGGAGCAGGAGGAGAGAGCGAAATTGGAATCTCTGATGCATCTGGAAAGGGACCATACCAAACAAATGCACCTTGAGCTTTGTAAGGCCCAGGAGTGAGATAATATGTTGATAGAAACATTGGGTGCCCTGGCAGGGATGAGAAGTTGGCTGGAGAAGCTCTTGTTTGTTGCTGAGTATGTATAGAAAAAAGGCTGCAGGCAGAGGGTCTGCTTGCTGTTCTCAGGGACCGGAGGAAAAGTTGTCTGGCTCCAAACAACCAGTTGGGAAAACGGTGGCAGGAACAGGTCGAGCTCTGCGTAGATAGGGGTGGCAGCTGCTCCCCCCCAGCCCCTTGAGCCTTAGCAGGTAGTTGCAGGTCTGCACTGGAATGGCCTCAGTGACCACATGGCTCTGATGTGAGCTCTGGGAAGGTGGTGGTTGACCACGTGGCCTTGCTGCAGGTGTCGAGATGATGCCAAAGCTCCTGGCTCTGCCTAAAGTGCAAGTGCAAGTGTGACCTCACACTGGGATGGGCCCTGGGTGAGAACAGATAAAAGGACAGCGAGATGAGTGCTATGCAGCGTGTTCCACTGCCCTGGGTTGGAAGCTCATGAGACCACACTGGATCCACATGTGTTGACTATCTACCTCTCTTTCTCATCTACTTTTCTTTTTTTTTCCTCTGCTTTTCCCTTTTCCTCTCTTCTTTTCTCCTTTTTTCCTATTAAGTTACAAGCCCACTAAGCAGTATCCTCTTAAGTACTCACTAAGTGCCATGATCAGTGCCCGGCTAAGGTTTTGTTCTCTCAAGGTGTGCTGAGTTAAAGTTTGCATGGAATGTTTGAATGCTGTGAAGTTTACTGATTGTCCTTTTGCCAAGTGTCTTTTTTCACGTGGATGACCCAAAGTTCCTAAGTAAAAATTACTTCTTTTTTAACCTCCTGAGAATTGATTTTTTTCTCCCGCACACTGCCCAGAGTAATTCAAAATTACCTTCCCCTCAACCCACCACCCACCAAATGGACCAGGGCATTACAGCTTCCAAGCACCGTCATAGTAGGAAGGTTCAGGTGGAGCTTTGGAATGGTTGTGAAGAGAAAGAATCTGACAGGGGAAAGTGCAGGATCAGTTAGACAAGCACCAGGAGACCATGCACAGAGAACAAGTGGCACTGTGACCCCTAATTAAAATGGAAGTAGTGAGGGGTGAGGAGGATGAGGAGATGAAAATAACTACAAAATCAGTGCCTTATTTGGCGGAGAGTTTAGCAAAACTCCTTTGGAATGGTTGTGAAGAGAAAGAATCTGACAGGGGAAAGTGCAGGATCAGTTAGACAAGCACCAGGAGACCATGCACAGAGAACAAGTGGCACTGTGACCCCTAATTAAAATGGAAGTAGTGAGGGGTGAGGAGGATGAGGAGATGAAAATAACTACAAAATCAGTGCCTTATTTGGCGGAGAGTTTAGCAAAACTCCAACAGAAGTATGTGACACCAGG